GGTTATCCAGTCGTTTCATTAAAGTATATTTATACTTGTATTAAATATGTATACGTGTGGACTAGAGTACGGACATTCGGTGCGGCAGGCGGACTATTGGTGCGAGACCTCTTCCGCTCAGATTGTCCGTCGGACATGTGAGGCGCGCGCGGAATGTCCGACACGGACATTCTGTGCGGATAAAATCCGCACCGATCGTCCGCTCTCGATCGATCTCTAATAGGCGGACGATCGGTGCGGGTAACATTCTACGCGGTCACACCGGCCTTTTTAGGGTTAATAAGCATATTTTTCGCCAGACTGTAAATTTGGGAATTTCTAATTTTCCAACAAACACATATAAAGGTATGACTTGAGAAAAAATACTGGATAATCATGTCATTTCAGCATTTACATTTGTAAATCACTGGTATGGAATTAGAAATACCCCCCCCCCCCCATCAGTACGCCAGCGTTCAGGGGCTCATGAGCTTCTCACCCCTATAACAAAAAACAGACACGCTTTCCCTTCTCTCACTATTTGTCCACGATATGCGCGCGCTATTATAAAAACCTCCATTGATAAATATAGGTAGCATGCGCAATGTTTAGGACATTTAATTCCTGTTAACTTTCCTTTTCTTTGAATAGAATTTCATACGTCATTTAATTCAGGTTTTTATTATTGTTATGTTCTTTTGGGGTTAAAAATACAAACCATCTTTACTCCTTTACTGCTTTTTTTTTTGAGGGGGGGGGGGCGTTTTTGGGGGGCAAAAATGCGTTTTGCCCCCCCCCCCCCCCCCCCCCCCCCCCCCCCCCACTTCCGGCGCCTATGGAGAGAACCACAATACAATAACAAACAGAATATACTCCATTGCATCCAACAGTACCCTACACGTACATACGGTTGATGTTAGATTGCAGTCTATGCAAATCATTCTTTTAATGGGGGCAATTCATTTTAGGGGACCATACTTGAATGCACTAAAGCGGAATAAATGTATGTTGCAATTACTTTTAGAAGTTTATAATAATTATATTATTATTATCATTGTTATTATCATCAATACCATCACCATCATCATTGCCATCATCAAATATCACTATCATCATATTTATAATCATTTTTGTTAAGGACCTGAATTTTTATGTTACCATATTTTGTATAACTTTGTATCTATTTTGTATTTTACTTTGTTATAATTGAATTCTGAATACTGAATTGTCATTATTTCTACTTTTTATACTATGCTTTTAATACCAGGTCCAAGATGTGAAACAGATTTATTTCTGATCTTGTGTACCTGTATAAATAAATATGTATGAATATCATCATCACTATTTGTGGGCGATTCTGACAGACTGAGTGGATCTTTTTTTTGTATACTACAAATGTTGCACCGTATTAGGGGGAGGGGCTGGATATGAATGCTCTTTGTAGGTGCACTCTATATTCAATTAGAATGGGGTCAGGCCTAGTGTGGAGACTTTTTTTTACCAAAACAAAGATTACAAATCGCTGCAATGCCAGAGCGAATTTAAAATACACAGGCATACAAGGGAATTTGAGTATAAAAGCATCAAACATATTATTATTATTATTATTATTACTGTTAAATTATTATTATTTACTATCATTATCATCATCACCATCATTAGTACCATCATTCTCATCACCATCATCATCATGTTGACTGACTCAGTGGATCTTTTTTTAGAGATTACAGTAAAGCATCAAACAAAGCACATTGGATAGTCACTACCGGTAATCTGTTGGACCATATCAGTGTTCCAATTGTGAAGTAGATATGTTACGTCAAAGATTTTAAAAACAATAATGACTGTATCATAAACAATGTTATCACAGTCAAAGATTGTGTGTTTTATTTTGTATTACTTTCTCAGAGTAATAATTTGTTATTTAGTTTATTTACTAATCCATTTCACAGCTGACATATAAATTAATTATACTATATCATACATGTGGTACATAGCACCTATACAGATATATACACAAATCATAAAGGAAATATAATGTTCTCACCAGGCGCGTACGCAGGATTTTTTCAAGGGGGGGGGGGGGGGTTTTAACATTTATAAATTGGGCCGAAAATTCTCGCAACGACTCAGCCAGCCGCTGAATAAGCAGGGGGGGGGGGGGGGTAAGAGGTCACTTTTTCTTGGGGTATCGAAATTTGAAAAATTTGACATTTTGCTCCGTTGGGGGGGGGGGGGGGTAAGGTCATCTTTTTTAGGTCAGCCATGGGAATATTTTTTTTACAAAAGGCGGGGGGGGGGGGGGGGGTTTAGGGAAATTTAGGGGGGGTTTACACACAAAACTAGATGGAACTTCGACTGCGTGCAGTCAAAAATGATGCCTCCGTCATAGCGCAAGTTTACAAACCAAAACAGAAGAAATTTTTCAAATTCAAGTTTCATTGTAATCCATTAACAGGTTCTCAGAATATCGTGATTACAAGCGATTTCTCATATACATATATGACCCTTTGATCTTTGACCTCATGACCCTAAAATCTACTCAGTTCATTGGCTCTGCAAGATGTCCTGAGTTAAATAGTAATCCATCTGTCAGTTCTAATGAGAATGTGTTCACAAGCTATTTTTGCATACATAATAAGCTCATGACATTTGACCTTTGACCTCATGACCCAAGAATCTACTCAGTTCATTGGCTCTGCAAGATACATACATGATCTAAGTTTGGCAGGAATCCATCTGTCAGTTCTAATGAGAATGCGTTCACAAGCTATTTTTGCATACATAATGAGCCCATGACATTTGACCTTTGACCTCATGACCCAAGAATCTACTCAGTTCATTGGCTCTGCAAGATACATACATGATCTAAGTTTGGCAGGAATCCATCAATCTGTTCTAATGATAATGCGATCACAAGCTATTTTTGCATACATAATGAGCCGCATGACCTTTGACCTTGACCTCATGACCCCAAAATCTAATCAGTTCATCGGCTCTGCAAGTAACATACATGACCTAAGTTTGGCAGGAATCCATCCATCGGTTCTTGAGATAACGCAATCACGAGCTGTTCTTGCATACATAATGAGCCCTGTGACCTTTGACCTCGTGACCCCAAAATCTAATCAGTTCATCGGCTTTGCAAGATTCATACATGACCAAAGTTTGGCAGGAATCCATCAATCGGTTCTTCAGATAACGCGATCATGAGAACAGGACGTACGGACAGATGTACGGACGGACGGACAACCCGAAAACATAATGCCTCCGGCTACTTCGTAACGGAGGCATAAAAATACCAAAGGGGGGGGGGGGTTTAACCCCCAACCCCCCCCCCCCCCCCCCCCCCCCCCTGTGTACGCGCCTGGTTCTCACCTCTTTTCAATAAATGATTAAGTCTTCTCAGAATTTTACTAATCAATCTAAAGAGTCATTGATTGATTAAAAAAGTTCTGAGAAGGTATGAATTTTTATTAATCAAGAATAAATTATATTCTCACAATCACTGCATGAAAAGAGTTAAGAACAAATTATTCCAAATGTATGGGCAACAACGTACAAATGATAGGTCATGAGTGCATCAGCGACCACTCTGGCAGGTATCAAAACATTCAGAATAAGGGCCTCGTGCAGATATGACGAGCCAAAACCACTGCCGTGTTTTATGATAGAATGTGTTAACGCTGTATCACATTTCTGTATCTTATAACACAAAGCTCAGTGAATACACGCACAGCCTTTTTTTAATGCAGTTGCCATTCATTTATACGTTACAAAAAAAATGGGGGGGGGGGGCTCAACTAACCACAGGGTTGGCGATCTCCTGGGATATACTGGGAAATATGTACAATTGGTCATCAGGATGGACAAAAGATTTCAATAATGGCTGTATATGTTAAAGGTGCAGGCAAATATTACCACTCTTAATAATGTACATACCTGGCCCAGCTACATGTAATGCAATGGCAAATAGGGCAATAGCAGTGCTGGATTGGCCAGACACCTTACTTGTAAACCTGTGGATTATGATATTATTTTGGTTTGGTTTTCTGTAGACTCATACTAGAGTTATCTTGGACTTTAGCATCAAGCAGGTTAAGCAGCAGCATGGAAGACATCCTACAGGTTCTACTATGAAGTCTTATGGTTCTGTCAGGAATTGTGTACACTTCATTAACGCATCAACCAGTCCTCATTCTTCATTTTGCCTCAAAGTGCTAAATTCACATGATTACTATACATGTATGCCAAAGATAAAAGCCAAGGCTTGGAAAGCTAGGATGGTTTTGCCTTCATCTTAAATTTGATCAAGATCATCCAAGATTGATATATATACCTGGGATATTTCATATACTAGGGTATTAGCATGATTGGTCCCTCCATAAGAACTTTCTTCACTTATGTCTAATAATGCTTTTCCAGTCCAGTCACAATAAAGTGATCAAAGAACTTCACAGCGTACTAAGTCAAAGCCTTTTGTCTCCGATTGACGAGAGGCTGCAGCAGCTAGATCCAATGCTGTTTTTACTAGCACCTTGTAATTATTGGCACATGCACCCTACGCTTGTGGCACACACTATGTCAAAGTTCTGCAATAATCCTCAAGGTTGAAGGAAGAAGAAGAAGAAGAAGAAGAAGAAGAAGAAGAAAGAAGAAGAAGAAGAAGAAGAAGAAGAAGAAGAAGAAGAAGAAGAAGAAGAAGAAGAAGAAGAAGAGGAAGAAGAGGAAGAGGAAGAGGAAGAAGAAAAAGAAAAAGAAAAAGAAGAAAAAGAAGAAGAGGAAGAGGAATAGGAAGAAGAGGAAGAAGAGGAAGAAGAGGATAGAAGAAGAGGAAGAAGAGGAAGAAAAGAAGGAAGAAGAAGAAGAAGAAGAAGAAGAAGAAGAAGAAGAAGAAGAAGAAGAAGAAGAAGAAGAAGAAGAAAAAAGAAGAAGAAAAAGAAGAAGAGGAAGAAGAAGAAGAGGAAGAAAGGGAAGAAGAGGAAGAAGAAGAAAAAGAAGAAAAAGAAGAAGAGGAAGAGAAAGAAGAAGAAGAAGAAGAAGAAGAAGAAGAAGAATAATTTCCTCCATGACACTTTTGTGGAGCAGCGCAAGTGCTGTTTTCCTTTTGACTACCGGTTCTGAATTCACTCATTCCCATTGGCTTTACTACAGGGATCACCCTGTTCACATAGCCAGTGAGGAGCTTCCATTGTCTAGAGGCCGGAATTCTTCAGGGAGCAATGCAAACATACCTCTCTCTCCTCAGAATATCACACTGTTTAACATGCGCAACAAAATCTCTTCCCTGACATTGTCTCTGACAGAGTCCACTGAGGCATAGTTACATCACTTGGTTTGTTCTTGGTTCCCATGGATCATACTGTTTAACAGATGCAACAAAAATCTCTTCTCTGACATTGTCTCTGACAGAGTCCACTGAGGCATAGTTACATCACTTGGTTCGTACTTGGTTCTCTTGGTTCTTACGGGACAGCCACAGGTACGTAGGAGCTCATGTAAAGAGGGTTGGCTCTCGGGCAGTTGGAGGTCAGACAACACATGCAACAAAATCTCTTCTCTGACATTGTCCGTGACAGAGTCCTTTGAGGCATAGTTACATCACGAGGAGGTATCCCTAGAGCGGATTTGTCTTTGCCCTCCTTTCCTCTTCTTAAAAGAAGCACTCCCGGTGCTTCCCTTGAGCTCGCCTTGATACTCCCGACCACCTTCTCTTGTATTTTCAGTTTTTCTCTCGGTTCGTACTGTACAGCCTGGGGTACGTAGGAGCTCATGTAAAGTGGGTTGGCTTCAGGCAGTTGAAGGTCAGGCACTCTGAGTCATGGAAAGAATGGTTGATTTAATCATTTTTTCGTTTATTTGTGTACCATATACATTGTTTGTTGTGATAACAGTATATGAATATTTATTGTCAATGCATGTAGAAAATATGATACATACAAAGGAGCTGAAGTAAAAAGGGCTGGAATAAAGACGAGGGCCCAATTTCACAAAACTTGTTGTCAGTGACAAATGACAGTTTCTATTATAAGCTAATGAAATCCTTGCTTCTGATTTGTTATCATTTTTGTCATTTGTCATTGAAAAAAGGCTTTGTGAAATGGGTTTCAGGCATAATGCAACACTAATAAATTAAAATTAGATTTTTTTTTGTTGTTGGGCTGTTTCACAATGACAAATAACAAGATACACAAATTTATTGACAATAGATGAATAAATCATGAAATATGGTCCAACCTGTCTTAGTGGTCGCCTGTCTACAGTGGCCATGTCTTTTGTCTACCTCAAGACATACATGTGTGTTCGTAGAACCTGTCCAGAAAGGCCACCTGTTTACTACAGTTTATTCTGTTTACCTTGGGTGGCCTTAATAGACAGGTTTGACTGTATATGTAATAGCCATGGTATAGAGTGTTGGATTCAGGCTGTTGAGGGTCAGGATCTCTCCATGTCATTAACAATTTTGTTTAATATTTGTATTTATTGGTTTCTGTATCACCATAAAGGACATAAATGTTTGTATTACCCTAAACTATAAATAAAGCAATTATCATTCGTGCAAAAACAGAAAAGAAAGCGAAATGACTTACTCCTCAGGTCCAGTGGAAACAGATGACCATCCACCATACGCATGATCGTTTGTTCTTTTGGTTCCTCTCGACGTGCTCTTTGCATCCTCCTTTCTATCCTCATCCTCACTGTCCTCATCGGAATCGGAGTCTGTCTTCCCTTCAGCCTGGCAGATGAAAAGATGGGGTAATTTTTTCTTCTTTTTTTCAAAGTATTTATTGAAAACAAGTCTCATTCATAATAATAATAATAATAGTAATAATAACATGTTCTTATAGACATAGAATATGTATAATAAAAAATATAGTGTAATAGTTAACTCATCAGCAATGCAAAAAAAGTTAACAAAATATCTGCCATTTCTTATTATGAAGATTGAGACGATTTTTCTTGAAAGCAATTATACGTTCCATATTTTCTAAATGTTTGAGAGCTCGTTGAAAAGAAGGAAATAGTGGAATAACATTTTGCATTTTACAAGTGAATATAAAATATTTTGCAAAAATAATAACTGTATTGACCGTCAAAATAAAAATTATTGATTATAAGAGTACCAACAAAATATTCTTCATCTGTGAACAAAACATTTGGTATGTTCTTTTCTTTTAACCATACAAATATAACATTCCAGAAAGATCATACTTTTTCACAATTTACAAGATGGGGTAATTACATTGGAAACACATTATAGTGAGGACATGGCACCATGAAATTAACCTTGTTGTCCTATCCTATCATGGAATCTTCTCCCAGCTTGCAGGGTGATTTCAACATTTCCCCACACATCTCTGTTATCTGCCATTCTAGTGCACTCATGCAGCATCATTCCACTCCAGAGGGTGTTTCACAAAGATCTTAAGCTGAACTTAACTCTAAGTTGGACTTAAACATTATGGAGAGCCATTTGTAGCCCTAAATTGAAATATATCAAAAAGCAAACATTCAAGTATTTTAGACTTTTCATAAATTCCACATCAAGAACGTGAAAATCTCCTCGATAATAGAAATTACGAATGATTCAAATCAACATTTTATGCCTTTTAAAATAACTTTTGCAAAACATTTTCATAGATGATAACAGCTTTCCATAATTGTTTAGTCCAACTTAGAGATAAGTTCAACTTAGAATCTTAGTGAAAAACACCCCCCCCCCCCCCCCCCTGGTCTTTATGTTCTCCTCCTAGTTTGTTCTCAGCTTCCCTCTTGGTCTAGAACCATCTACTTTCCTTTCTAAAAAAAGTTTCAGGAGACCCTGATGTCTCTCTTTTTCTGATATATCAGGGTAACAAATATAAAGATATATATATATATATATCAAGTATCTTGTTATATCAGAGCTCTTTCTATGCATTATTAGTGCTACTGTCAACACTGATTTTCTCTGACCTTGTTTGGACAAAAGATAACTATGCAGACATAGTTACAATAGTACATAATACCATTTTTCTTCTGTCAACGTGAGTGTTGATTCCAGGCCCGTTGATGATGGGAATAACTTTTTTGAATGGTTTACCTATGAGAGCATGAATACCTACCTTTCCTTTTGAAGAACTTTTGTCTTTTGATGAGGTGAAGTTTGCTGGTTTTTCCCACTGGGTCTCTGCATTGTAAGAACAGTTGACAGGGATTTGAAGAGAAACAAAGCGAGGTGATGAGAGGGTAGTTATGTGATGCAGAGAGAGACATATTGAGAGAGAGAGGGTGAGTATGACAACAGGAGAGTGAGAATGACAAAAAGAGAAAGAATTTGAACGAGAGAAGGAATTCGAACGAGAGAGAGAAAGAGAGAGAGGGGGAGGGGGGGGTGCGGGAGATGAAGAGACACAGAGAGAGAACAGAAGAGAGAGAGAGAGAGAGAGAGAGATGAATGGAGTGATGAGGAAACAACAGAGAACATGTTAACATGTATGGATTTCACAAGCACGGTCAAGATGTCGTGGACAAGCCGCCATAGCATACTCCAATGTTCATCAACATTTGAATGGCCAGATGCCCCATTTTTGCAAGTTTCTTTCAGACTCATTCATTGGTAAATGGCTATGCTCACTCATGTATGAATGAGATGATTCCAATTGCATATCACCTTAAAGAGAATTAAGTCATGTTTATTTTGATATATGAAAGTTTATGTTATGAAAGCTTATATTCAATTGTTATTTGAAAATCTCAACTATAAATAATGTCCACTTTCTTTTTTATGTCTCTTTGGAAAAGCAGCCACAAGAAAACAAAGTGGGCTACATGTATACAGGCTTTACTAAACAGATTAACACCTACCTGCTGTCTTGGTGTTCCAGTAGTAAGTGTGTCCCTCTGGGCTGACTGCTTTCACCCATTCCTGCGTCTCAGTGCTGGGTGTGGCTGAAGACGAGGGTGTGGTCTCCTGGGTATCTGACGAGGGCATGGTCTCCGTGGTACCTGACATCCCCGCTGACGTCCCCCCTGGCGGGCCTGGCTGGTATCTGCTCCCCTGTAGAGCTGTTGGGTCCCCTTTAATAAGGAAACATGTTTGAAATGTGGAGAGACCAATATATGAACCTTCAAAGATTTCACTACAGTTAAAATACATGTGTGCTAAGTAGTGTGCTTAGCAGAGTGGCTCACCATGCAGAGCATCTGATCTTGGACCTAAAGGTCGGTACCATTGTGGATATGTGTCAAGCAAGTGTATCGAAGCCCATCTTGCATGTACATCTTCGAACCCCACAAAAAACCCAAAACAGACTTGGGTTCTGCACAGGCTACATTCTGGCACAGGTGCATACAGGCACTATGAATTATAGTCGCAAATCTTTTTTTTTGTGAATTGAGAACATATTCGAACTTGCAATATCCCTTTGTTATTTTAATAATAATAATAATGAAATATTCATTTATGTAGTGCTCTCACACAATGGGTTCACAGTGCTTTACATGGTATAAAGGTGGGAAAATCGGTTAACAAATTATGTCTTGAAGTGCTTGAAGGTTGAGTTCTGGGAAGAGGTGACAAATAATTTGTGAGCGTTATCATTGTGCTATGCAAGTGTGGAAGAACATCAGATAAAACATGTTCCCTGAAAAACATGGTCCTTCAAATGCATTAATATTCTAAATATGGCATGTAACATCATCAAAATCAGGACGGATTTTTTCGCCACGTGTTCGTTTAATCATATACATCTTTCTGTGTACAGTGCTTGTAACTTTACCTAGACTGTGCCAAATTGCTTAGCATTTTGATGATGCCAGAACCTTGCAATACACATAAATACTTATATGCTAGATGATCAATTCTTTTCTGATCGATTCCACAATGTTTCTTTCACAATGCAATCGCATGACCAGAACTCAACCTTCTCTTTAAAGGCGTCTAGTGTGGGTGATGTACGGGTGTTCCGGGGCAGTTGATACCAGAGGCAGGGTGCATATGATTAATTTAGCAGACCAACACCTCTTACATACACAGCAAAATATGTTTTGGTGATTAGTACACTTTAAACTTGCTTGCAAATGACTTTTTGAAGAAAAAAAAAATTATATTTTCATCTCGCAAAAGCTAAATCGAGCAGACTAAATGGGTGGTATTATCGAAAGTGGACTAACTTTAGTCCATGGTTTAATCCACCGACTAAGTATGGGATGCCAAGTGACCATATGAATATGTTTTTGAATAATTTAATCTGTGACTAAATTAAAAATAAAATATAATAACATCATTAATAAACAAAAATATAACTACGATATAATTATGTTATCATGGTAATTTAGGGACATATCAAATTATTCAAAATATATTCATATGGACACTTGGCATTCCATACTTAGTCCATGGACTAAACCATGGACTAAAGTTAGTCCGTTTTCGAGAATACCACCCAATGTGATGTAGTAGCACTGCTATAACTTACCTTCCTGTTGTTTTACTCTGTGTTCCACGAGAGCCACCTTGTACTCTGGCATCAGGTCAGGATTCGATTCAACGTCCTTCTTGAAAGCTTTCAAAGCATCCTGTACAAACAGTTGAAATAATCATAATTCAGAAATACATGAATTCAGAATTTCAATGAACGACACATTATCATCCTGTAAAGAGAGTTGAAATAATAATAATTCAGAAATAGATAAATTCAAGCACATGAGACCCTGAAATAAATGAATTCTAAATTTCAATGAACGACGTATTATGAATATTATCTTTTTAAGCAGTGAAATGTCATTTAATTTATGGACTGTCTTAAATGTTTCTCAAAGTACATGTATCTTGAAAGCTTTCATAGCATCCTGTACAAAGAGTTGAAGAACTTAAAATAATCATAATTCAGAAATGGATAAATTTAAGAGCATGCAACCCTAAAATACATGAATTCTGAATTTCAATGAACGACATATTATGAACATCATCTTTTTGAGCATTGAAATGTCATATAAAGTATTCACTGTCCTAAATGTGTCTTAATGAAAGTACATACATCAGCCCTACATCTTATACAGAATATATCATACCGGTATATATATGCTATAGGAGCACAACTAGATTCAGTCTACAACACCCCATATATTAAAGATAGTTGTGATAGATGTAGTTTTTCATACTACTACATGTGCAATTTGCAAAGCTACAATTAAGTATTTACAAGGGGGGCTCAAACTCAAAGTGATGCTTTTCATTTGCATACCTCCTCCATCTGTTTGAGGTAGCCATCAAGTTTCTGATTGGTTTCATATTGCTTCTGCCCTTTCTTCCGCAGCTCTGCAATCTTGACCTCCACATTCTCCTTGTGTCTCTTCCCTCTCTCATGGAACTCCTTACTCTGAAGTGAAATAAAGAAGATTATTATATTTTCATAGAATTTTACAAAAAATATGACAAGAGTAGAATAGACAAGGCAGCAGCAGTATCCCAAAGAATGTGCTCCTCTTGGTCATCAGCCTCCATTAGCACCAACATCAAACTCAGATTCTCAAAATAGCAACTGCCATTTATGAAAGCAAACAAAGAAGGATTCTATCGCCATCGCAAGGAAAGTGAATGTTTTCCATCAAAGATATCTTAGTACGAAGGCAAGCGTGAACACATTCCACACAAAAATGATACTAAATGTTTTAGGATAAAACACTCTTTCATAAGATAATAATAATAATAATAATAATACTCAGTTTCTATATAACGCTTATTAGAATCACTAAGCGCTTCCAAAGATGTATAATAATTTACTGTTCATAGATTATTTCTAAAATAATTAGCAATTTTCTAGGTGTAAACTTTTTTTTTGGCTCACGCTGTATACAAAAAAAGAGTGGGGAAGGCCAGTCATCAATTTTTCATTTTCCAGTAAGGGGTTTTGACCCTCCCTACCCCTTCCCCCCCCCCCCCCATCCCTCTGGGAGGTATAACATTATGCTTGATATTATTCTAGGATAATACATTTTCAACTTACTTCTTCACTGGCCAGGCCCACTCACTTTTAAAGGTAGTCCCACCACCACAGACTTCAAAAACTTACCGATTTGTTATCTGCATACCAACACTTGCAAAAGTCACAAAACTTTCTTGGATTTGACTTCCAAAATTCAGTCCTAATAGATAAAAGGGAAGAATAAAGATGAATTAAACTAAGAGACCATTAGATTACTTCACTTTTGGTTTCATAAAATTAAACAAAAACGTTATCAGCTTTCAGCAACATGTCTTTTTAAACTAAATAGATGGCTTCTTCATTAGTCAGCATGTAATGAGCACCACAAAATCTGCCTTTTTTGTACGCCGCAATGGTACATGATAATTACAATAGCGTCTTTTTACAGTTGATAGCTTTTTTCATAAAGTCAGCACCAAATGAGCACCACAAAATCTGCCTGTTTTGTACACCGCAACGGTACAGCACTACAGGAGAATTAAGAAGATAGTGCTAAGATAGTGACACAGAACACTCAACAGGGAGACTAATTACTAGCTATTTTCTCCGGAATCCAGCTACAATACAAGTGTGCCCTCAATTTTTCCTAAATCTAGAGTCTAGACAAAAGTGCAGTTTGATTTTGAAAAAAATGACGATTGGAAAGATGCTAGATGATAGATCTAATTTTCATGAAAATAAAATGGAAATGGAAATAAAATTGAAAATCAGCCGGGCCTGGGTTGACCAGGCACCGCGCATCGCCCGTTCGGGATGGCCGGTGGTGGATCGGCAGGCGGAAAATAAATGTTATTAGAAAATTTGTTTAAAAAATTTGGGCGATGATCGTGCGAACATCGCCATCAGTGGAACATGGACCGATTACCACACATACATGTAGGTGCATTCTATCCTGGCTGTGTATTATTAACACCACTGTACAAAACTCAACTGATTTCACTCAATACTGGTACTTTAGTGACGATTGATGACACCTAAATATAATATCAGTAAAATACATTTTTTGATGTATAATTAAAGAATTCAAATTGTGAGTCCACTGTCAAACTTGCCAATCAGCCGCATCGACATGATTGTGTGCATCTGTGTTTTATGAGGGTATTGACCATTCACGTATTTAAATGCTGCCTATAAGTATTAACATGCAGTGCAGTGCAAGAGCCTAGAGGTCAATACGCGCTACGCATGATTAGCATCGACTGATTCGACTCTCTCATGAACTCAGACAAATAAAAATTGCGCGATGTTGTCATCGAGTTTGATTAACGTTGAACTTCAAACTTTCTGGGCGTGTTCCCGATCAGCAAAAACAGCCAGGCAGCCCTCTTGGTCACCGTAGGGCCGACCGGCGGAAGGCAAAACCAAGGCTTAGCTTAGAGTCTAGGCTAAGCTTAAGGAATATGAAAATATGCACACATCAAATTGAATGATACGGGACCGAAGTGAAAGCCTCCGGAAAAATAAAGGTACGTAAGTTTGTCTAAATGCAAAATTTCATATAAAAGATACTGAGGTTGTTTTTATAAATATTGCTTGATGCAAGCTATAATCAATGAATTCATTCCAGATACTAAATAAGCATACAAATCAACAAACTTACATGGTTAGAATAGAGACACAGCTTCGTTGTTTCGGCTTACGTCTAAGGTAGCGTTAACAATACAAATAAAAAGGAAAAAACTACAATGGAATGGAGAATTGTAACAATTTGCGGATGGAGAGCGGGGTTTCCACACCGGAATGTTATAAATTAATTTAAAGGAGGCACGTGTACAAGATGAATGCAACCCCCCCCCCCCCCCCCCCCCCCGAGCCGTCCCCCCCCCCTCACCATCTGACTACAATTTTTTATTTAATTTTTTAAATTGTATAGTTAGTGTATTTGTTTTAAATTAAATGATTCTAGGATATGCATCGAAAGGGGGCGTATGAAATCAAGTACAATCTAGAAATATTAGATAGGCTGGGAAAATATTTCCGCCAGTGATTACGGTAAGAATCAACATGAAGAACGTCTTCCGTCCTTCCAGGCTGTTGCCGGGAGGAGGGGGGGGGGGGGTTACATCCCTGTCTAAAGGGAAAACCCACCCTGATACGAAAGGCAGGTCAGGGAAAATATTGAGAACATTCCCATTTAAAAAAAAGAAAAGTTATGCATTTGTTTATCTTTCGATCATTTATATACAAATTGGCGATTCTCCCCTTCCATTTACGCTGTACTTTAAAAGAAAATCGGTAATTATATTTTCCCTCAAGAAAGTTTTAAAATCATACATGCAGCCTAAATTTATTTTTACAGATATGTTTCTATACATCACCTGTATGAAATACATTTATTCCATCACCAATAATCAAATAAATGAAAGTTTTTGAAAATGTATGTGCAGAGCGAACTGGAGAGGAGCGCGCAAGATACGTCAAAGTATTGCCAATTTGTGCTTGATTGATCGCAACTTCAAAAATGAATTAATAAATTTCTCCATTTAATCGCAAACTTTCACCTGTTCATCTTATATTCTCTGCTTTTATTTTGTGGATATTTTGTGGACACAGAGAGAGAGAGAGAGAGAGAGAGAGAGAGAGAGAGAGAGAGAGAGAGAGAGAGAAGGAGAGAGCAAAATGGAGGAGTGACGGATACATTTTATAAGCAGTGAACTCTCAGGATTTTTATTCCAATTGTTTTAATCATTACATGTAATGAACTTGAATGTGTGTATGCATGCGTGTATGTAGATCGAGAGAGATAGAGGAGAGAGGGGAGGAGGGGAATGTGAGGGAAGGAGGAAAGAGCGAGGTGGGGAGCAAGAGGAAAGAGAGAGAGAGAGAGATAGAGAGAGAGAGGGGGAGGGAGGGAGGGATGGAGGGATGGAGGGAGGGGGAAGGAAGGAAGGAAGAAGGGAGAGAGACAAAGGAGGGCAAGCTAGAGTAACCCTTTACTCTACCACTGCACAGACAAAACTCTATTACTTTGAGACATGCATAAATAAAAATTCAGGATCCGTGGAGATATGTCAAAGTCCATCTACGTCATGCATACATATACAAATATAGGATCTCTACATGGAGATATGTCATACGCCATCTGCGTCATTAAGTACAGCCAATCATCTGACAACTTTAATCATTTCACACATTGCATCATTATTGTGATTCTATAAAAAGCTAATCAATAATGGTCGTCACGATCAGACAACATTCAACGGTTAAAAAAAATAACATCATGTACTTGATTACTCACTTGTCATGCTAGTCATAATCGGGATATTTCATGTGACCAATATATAAAAGCCATGTCGTTTACAAATACAGTCACGTTTGAATACCTCGATATCTCTCTTCATTTGTTTTTTAATTATGAGTTATATTCGTCTTATCCTAATTACATTGTTGGTAAGTAATAATTCGAAACCCCCTATAAATTCGTCATCCAAGCTAAGAAAAACTAACGATTGATAATAGACGAATGCTATAGTGTACTGCAGGTAAGGGGGAAGTATCATAATATTCAGACAATCGTTTTATTTGAGAACCAACTCTAACCATTTACCCTCAATTATTTTTCTCTTTCTCCCCTTCACTCCCTCATCCCCGTCTCTCTCTCCCCCCCCCCCCCCCCCCCCCCCCCCCCCCCCCCTCTCTCTCTCTCTCTCTCTCTTCTCTCTCCCCTCTCTCTCTCTCTCTTCATCTCTTCTTTTCCCTTGTCTTTCTCTCTCTTCTTCTTCTTCTTCTTCTCTCTCTCTCTTTCTCTCCCTCTCTCTTTCTCTCTCTCTCTCCCCCTTTCTCCTGCTCATTCCTTTCTTTTTCTCACAACTTTTCTCTATTAATCAGGAATATCTCACGGGTGAAATTTCCAAATTTAGTATTCGAGAATAACACATTTAAAACTGACACTTCTCTGGCCAGTATGCCTATAAGTATGATTTATTTTCAATTAGGTTTATCAATTTCTGATCGTTTATTCTTTCCATAATCATAAGTTTTATGTTATATGTTACAGCCTGAATAAATAATTCACAAAACTAAATGACCGGGTAAACTTGCAATGATAGTCATGCTGATTGCGTTCAATTGCCGCAATATCTTGAGAATTTAAGACAAATATGAATGAATGAATATGATACTAACAATCTGCTGAACATTCAAAAATATATATATATTAGAAGAGGGTTCAGTTTATCTTGTTAATTTAACTTTACTTTCAAAAATTCACAGTAAAACCATAGGAAAACATAGACGGATCACAGGTATATATAAATATATAAATACATATGTACGTATATATATATAACTGGGACGCGTATCTTTGGCACATTGTGTATGCAAGAAATTGTAATTTTAAAAATTGATTCTTGTTTCTTTCTCTTCTACCATTTACAGCTAAACAAGCAAAATTATACATAATAAAAATAATGAAACTTTTATTTACACACATAATACATACACACCATACATACAAAACAGGAGGTGACAATGTGATAAAATTATGTATGTGTATTACAACATTCGAAAACAAAAGATATTTACTTGTCATAAACTCAATAAATCAGCCTCAATTCATATTTGAAATATGAATATTCCTCACTTAACAATAATTAAAAAAGATAATAATAATGACGAATTTATACTATTTGTAACTTCAAATTTTTTGCAAGCATGTAATATGTAATAAGTTGTAATCTATTTTACTGTGTATTATTTGTACTTGTCTACAGTGTAGATCTAAGTTTGGTTAAAATGTTTTTTTAAATCTGAGTGTGTAACACTTGCAATGTCATTTAGCTCTCGGGCTATCATTTTGCAGTTGTTCTAATAAACCATTCTACTACTACTACTACTACTACAAATACCAGAACCCTAGGCTTTAGCTATACGTGCATGCATGCCAGTACGACTCCATTTACCATTTTATAATTTGTCCTTGTTCTCTTCATTCGCTTCCAAGTATACGTCCTCAATCCTCATTATAATCTCCATATTTGTGCTAATGCTCAAACAATAGCATCGACTTAAAGTAAACATATAAAGAAATCTACAAGTGAGCCTACATCGTCTGTTCCTTTATCATATAAGTTTGATTCATCAGGCAGTAAAATACTGCTATTGTACATGAACTGAATAAATATGGAATATATAAGTTGACAAATATCCTTCAACAGCAGCGATAAAAATAGTAGCAGTAGCGTACGCAATCACAGAGGATTTAGTTATTTATTTATGATATTTAGACAGGGTTACTCATTATCACCAATTATGGTGCTCTTCCATGAGGCCCTGTTAAACATAATGAGGAACAATAATTTTTAACAGAACAAATATATATATATAATGATAATAATAATAATGACAAAATCACGAGCATAAACTCATAACAGCATTAAAGGTAAAAACCAATATTGGAAACGCCCCAATTTCAAAAAATGAAATGGAAGCTCTCATTACCAATCATGTGAAAGAATATGTTTTGACTAATACATGATGATAAAAAATTTGCCGGGAAACCGCCTACTAATTCATATATTTGGTAAATTTGTTTCTCTCATGGTCTGTGAGAGATATAGGGTAGTCCCATATACATCTTTCTGTGTACAGTGCTTGTAACTTTACGAAGAATGGGCCAAATTTCTTATCATTTTGATGATTCCAGAACCTTGCAGATGCTAGATGCTAGATGATCAACCTTTTCTGATCGATTCCACAACGTTTCTTTCACAATGCAATCGCATGACCATAACTGGTCTTTACCTTTAAACATAATGAGGAACAATAGTTTTTAACAGAACAAATATATATATAATGATAATAATAATAATGACAAAATCACGAGCATAAACTCATAACAGCATTAATGAATGAGGAAGAACATGTATAAACGTACATATAAATGGGTACATTTATTACTGCTTACATTATAAAATTATATTTATTTTATTCAATTTATGGAGTCACATTTATGTGAGTCACACCTTCGGATAACCAAGCACAGGCAAATATCCCGGTAACGGCTTATAACGCATAATGAAACCAACATCGTTCAATGCGAGGCTGTGTAAAAGGGAAAGATTTGGCGTTGCCGCTCTGGTGTTGACATATGTTTAAAACAAATAAATGCTGCGGATATAATTGCAGTATTTCACATTTTGCCATGTAAAATTCATATTTTATGACGAATCGTTCAAGGACTTTGAAGGTTTTTAACCGATAGCATATATATATATAATTATATATTATATGAGCGGTAGGTTGACTTTGTAAGATTCTCCCCATGCCTTTTCATGGGCGGATCTACGGGGGGGGGGGTAGGGGGTTTAACCCCCATTCCCCCCTTGGGCTGCCACTTGAAATTGTGATGTTCATAGAAAAACGCCATTATTTGTCCAAACCCACACAGGGTCAGTAGATGTTAGTAGATGCCAGGAAAACAAAACTTATGGGGGTTCAAAATAGCAACAACAACAAAATGTAAGTATGTAAGTAGATGCCAGGAAAACATCACTTACAGGGATCCAAAATAGCCAAAAGAAAATCGCATCGCCGCTTTGCGGCTCGTGGACGATGCTCTGCATCGTCATTATGAAATAATATTGCTCTGCATCATCATTGGGTTGGGTCAACCCCCTCCCTCCCCCTTAGCAAAAAGCTAGATCCGCCCCTGCTTTCAAA